CCCTCCCACCCCTATCCTCCAGGGAGATAGAAGGACTGGAGATTGAGTCTATCATTAATGACCAATGATTTAACCAACTGTGCTTTTATGGAGATAAGGAAACCTCCATAAAAGCCAAAAGGGCAGAGTTTAGGGAGCTTCCCAGTTGGTGAACAGGTGGAGGGGCTAAAAAGGCAGTAACACCCAGAGAAGACATGGATGTTCCATGCCCCTACTCACATACCTTGCCCTATGCATCTCTTCTGTCTTGCTGTTCCTAGTTGTATCCTTTTATAAGTCAGTAATATAGTAAGGACACAGTTTTCCTGAGTTCTATAGACCACTCTAGCAAAATAATTGAACCTGCAGAAGGGGTTATGGGATGCTCCAGTTGATGTTTTGTGACTCTTCAGTGTTTCACTTGAGTCATTGTGACACACAGCTATACTTTCTAGCCTTGGATTTTGTGGGATTCCCCAGGAATGAAACATTTCTAATCCATTTCATAATTCTGGCTATCCGTTGCTTTGAGACTTTTTTTTTTAAGATTTTATTTACTTATTTCAAAGAGAGAAAGAGAATGAGAGAGAGTGCACAAGGGAGAGGAGTGGCAGAGGGAGAGGGAGTAGCAGGCTCCTCGCTGAGCAGGGAGCCCGACTCAGGGCTCATCCCCAGGATTCTGGGATCATGACACTAGCCGAGGGCAGCCACTTAACTGAATGAATCACCCAGGTGCCCCGATTTGAGACATGTTAGATGGAGATGTCCTAAAGCAGTTAGAAACAAAGGACAAATGATAGGGACACCTGGGTGGCTCAGTGGTTAAGCATCTGCCTTCAGCTCAGGTCATGATCCCGGGGTCCTGGGATCGAGTCCCACATCGGGCTCCCCACAGGGAGCCTGCTTTTCTCCCTGCCTGTGTCTCTGCCTCTCTCTCTCTGTGTCTCTGATGAATAAATAAAATTTAAAAAAGGATAAATGATAGAATTTTGATCAGGAAATCATAAAATTATGTAAAATAACATCTCTCTGATAAAATCATAGAAGGAAATACCATAAACTTTTCCACTGCACAGGCCTGCCATCAGAGTAGAACACCATAGTCCCAGACATCCTAGGTTCTAGACCAGTATTTCTCAACCATTATTTCATTATTGCTTCTCTAAAGAGCATTTTTAGGCATTTTCCTCCTAGTTTCCATCCCCCATGAAATTTTAATGCCAGAGATATACTGACCTATGTACTGTGTGTAATATATACTATGTATAAGTATTTCTTTATAAACTATATATATATTTGTTATATATATATATTTGTTATATATATATAATATATATATATTTCCCCCCTCAAGAACCAACTTTTAACCCACATTGAGAATGCTTGTTCTAGACCAGATCTACCATTACTTTGCTATGTTTTCTTAAGCTATCATCATATATGAGTTTTGGCATCCTCTTTGCAACCTGACCAGGAAGTGTGTGATTATTCTCAAGATCTCTCCAATGTTCATCCCTTAACAGATACTACCCCATTCATGAACTTGCTCTTTGGATTCACGTACGGCATTTGGTTGCATCTCTGTAAGGGGTATACATTGAAAAATTGCCAGTAAAATGAGTACAAAAATGAACTACACCGTTAATTTTATTTTTAGCCTCCAATCAGCCTAAAGCACATAGCTTAGTATATTCCATTCTGGCAAGCTCAGGACAGTCTGACAACTCATCAGTCAGATTTAGGACATCTCACCATCAGTCGCCTTCTAGTTCAAAACGCTTTCTCCTTTCCTGGTCTCCGTATGGCTTAGAAACATTACGTTAAACAAGAAGAAACAGGTGTGGCCTGCTTTCTCTTCCTCCACTCTACGTTCTGGTCAGTGTACCAGCTCCCAGGTAATGCTTTCATTACTGAACTGAACCCAGAGGGAGCAGTTCCTTCTTAACTATGGCTTCATTTTTCTTCAGTTGAGGTTGGCACAGTTTGATCTCTTACTCGGAGACAGTCAGATGCCAGCTCTCTTGTGTAGCACACACCATGGTCTGTTGGCGCCCGTTTGAGCATCTTGCCCGTGCCAACTTCTGGAAAGTGACCCCCTCATTACTGAGCAATGTCTTAAAGAGTACCAACAAGCTAGCCCACACTCACAGCTACATTCTTGTGTTTATCCAGGTCTCAGGGATTCAAGGAATCTGACACAACAAGTTTTAAATCCAAGGAAAAACAAGAAGGGAAGATCTTGACTCCTTCCCATCTGCTTTGTTTTCTGCCATTTAACAAACACCATATGAAAAGCAGCTGCCAGTTGGCCCCCCATGTTCACAAACATTACCAACCTTTCAGGGAGAAGCACCTTCCCCTTGTTGGAAGACATAGTGAGCACCTTGGGTAGGGCAGTGGTAAAACCCTCACAAACTCCCCTTTCAACTCTCTTACTCACCCTACGTCTCCTGATGGAGAAGTTCACTGGGAGCAGAGTAGGGGCATTTATTTTAACTAAAAATGAAAATAAAATATTTTTTCTTCAGTCCTTGATTCTGATTTGTCTCATCTATAATCCAGGACTTTCCACTTAGCCAGCAGGTGGAGCATAAGGAACCAGTCAGCAGACTTCAATAAAAATAGTGGTGGATATACAGCATTAGGATTCATGATTCATGTCTTTTTCTGTTTTCTATCCTATGCTCCAAGGCCTTAGAAGCAGGTAATCTACAATTTAACACTTTATACTGATGCTGGCAGGCCGGGTCCAGGGACTAGCGGGGGTCCTGCAGGACCAGCCAAGAGAGGCCTTGGCATCTCATAGGATGGACATCAAATGTAAGCCAGCAGGAAATGAAAGTAGAGTTTATGGAAGATACAGAGGGAATGTCTGGGAGACTCAGAAAGGAAAGGACCATGAGTCTTGTCTTTATTCAGGGTCTGGGGGTTTTATTGAAGAGGGTGGTCTGGCATATGTGTCCCCTCAGGCATCCAGAAACTGGTTAGAACAAAGATGAGGGCCCAGGTGTTATTCCTGGTAAGCACCTGTCCTTCCTTAGATGTTGTCTACTCTAAAGAAATTATTAACAATTTGTCCCTTGCAAGGAGGATATTATGAGGCTTGTATAAAGTGGGGTGGGGATGCAGGTCCTAGCAAAAATAGCAGGAAAAGAAGCAAGAACAGATACTCATGGAGTCCTTCAGTTTCACTGTCTCAATACTTCTACTTACCTGCTTCCCCCACATCTGTATCTCTTTCTGTATCCTATCTCAAAATTAATGGTGTAATTATCCACCCAATTTCACTCAATTCAGAACATGGATTATCCTGGGTGCCTCCCTCATCCTTATCAGCTATATTCAATCAGTCATTAATTCCTATAAATTCCTCCTTAGTCATATATCTCTGTCATAAACCCCTCTCTGTCCTTCTACTATCTTAATTCCAGCCTTCCACAGCTTTTGCTTGAACAATTGCAATAAATTCCTAATTAGTTTCCAGTCAATGAAATCTCTCCCCACCCCACACTTGGGCATATCTTCCCAATGATGTGACCAGGTAACTCCTTTTTCAAAGTATTTGACATCTGTGGAAACAATACAAACCCCATCCTTGAGAAAAGAAAATATGCAATCAGAAATTTATTTTCCTTTAAGAAGACAATAGGCTTTAATTAATAAGAATCTTATAAATCACTAAAAAGCGCATGTTGTTTATTCAGGTACTGTGTTGTGAATCCCTTCTCTTTGGTGATAACAGAAGCTGTAGGGAGAAGAGAAAAAAAAAAAAACTAAGGGAGCTAAACAAAGAATCCATTTGCCAGCTAATCAAATTGGGTGAAGATCCAAAGATTGAATTGATCTTGCTTGACCTGTTCACTATCTTAAGTGACAGATTTCTCTGCAGTGTTTTCCTGCAACTTTCAGAGTAAAGAAATAAAAATTGTGTGCTGCCAAACTGTTTTATTACCCACATAAAATGTAAACCTTTATGTTTGTCAAGATTTACACGGTGAGAGGATTATCATAAATCACAATTAACAATAGCTGAGCAGATAAGGCTCATGAATTTTACATGTTGTTAATCATCTTATCTAAAATAGCATCCCTCCAAGGCTTTATGCAGCTTTAGTTTTCCCCACGGTACTTATCACCACCAAACATTTTGTGTATTTGTTGTTTCTGCCAGAAAGTAAACACCATCAGGGCAAGGACTTTGTTTTGCCCAAACAGAATTGGTTGTGTTTTATCCATCTGCATACATCCCTAGGTCAGTGCTTGGTACAAAGGGAGACTCAGCAAATATTTGTGTAATGGATGAAAGAGGGTGAAAGAAAAAAACAAAACCTCCATCGTGTAGCCAAGAAATGGCTTCTCAGTTGACAAATTCTGAGTATTGAAGACACACCTTAACCATCTCAGGGCAAGAGGCAGAGGCTGTTGCATCATGCCTGTTACACATGTCTACACTGAAGCCTGAAAATGGGCCTTGGGGAGGTCACAGAGCAACCTGGGGGAGGGGGAGGTTGTACCTGCTAAAATCTGGCCGCTGACCTTGCATTGTCCTATATTTCATCAGCCAACCTTAGGTGTCAGACCCAAGACCCCCTTGGCTCCTCTCTAAAAAGACCACTTTGGCACACTATTCGTCTCGCAATACATTCCTGAGAAGGAAGAAACAAGAGACATGAGGCAAAGAACGGGGCGACAGAATAATTTTTGGTTGTCACAGCGTTAACATTCTTTTTCAATTTTTACGTTATTTTTTTCTTCGTAACCGCCGCTAATGAAACTGTGGAGACAAAAACGAGGACTAGCTCCGCTACCCATAACCAACATGGCTGCAACGCCTTCACCGCCCACCCCCATAATTGACGCTCTCTATGACGCCCCCGACAATCCGCTACCGGCCCCGCCCCTCCAGCCCGGAACCCCTCTTCTCTGCTGTGCCCGCCCTTCCGCCTGAGCTCCGCTGGTGATTGGGCGAGCCTAGTGTTTGGGCGCGTCTCCGGATGTTGCGTCACGCAGTGCGTCGGGGAGGCTGCGCGCGCAGACAGCGGGGAGCCGGCCGAGCGCCGCGGAGGTGGGCGCGTCTGCGTGTCGGAGGCCCGGGAGGGTGACTGCGCGGTCGAGGTGACCGGGACCCGAGGTGCGGCTGCTCGCGGAGCCGCTGGGCGCCCCGGGGGAGAGCTGCGGGCGGGGGCGCTGACGCCGGGGCCCCGCGGCTTGCTGCAAGTTCCCCCCACCCACGGCCCCGAGCGGCGGCCGGTGCCTGCGGAAGCGGGGACAGTGCGCATGCGTGATGCAGCCTCGGGGGGTGCGGCGTCACGGGCCCCTCCGTTAAGGCCGCAGCATCTGCGGTTTAAGATGCCTTCCGGGGGGTTTCACTACCTTGCGTACTTTCGTCGTATTTTCTTTTTCTTTTTCTTTTTTTAAGATTTTATTTATTCACGAGACACAGAGGCAGAGACCCTGGCGGAGGGAGCAGCAGGCTCCCCGCAGGGAGCCCGACGCGGGACTCGAACCCGGGACCCCGAGGTCACGGCCTGGGCCGCAGGCAGACGCTCCACCGCCGAGCCTCCACCCCCACCCCCACCCCCCCGGCTGCCCTTCTCTCTCGGCGTGTTTTCAAGGGAAAGTACTATCTGGCACGTTCAGCGGAAATTCGTAATGTGTATTGTTCAGCATGGCCTTGGAGAGTCGTTCATCTCCTCCTTGGATGACGCTCAAAAGTAATGCGGAGCGTAACTTGTTTAAATGTGATTTAATTTAAATTTAAACTTGTTTTAAATTTCCGCACGAGGGGCTCAGCGGTGGAGCATCCGCCTCCAGCCCAGGTCATCATCCTGGGGTGCCAGGATCGAGTCCCGCGTCGGGCTCCCTGCATGGAGCCCGCTTCTCCGTCTGCCCGGGTCTCTGCCTCTCTCTGTCTCTCTGAGTGTGTCTCATGAATAAGTAAAATCTTTAAGAATGATAATAAATACGTAAATTTTCCCTTTGGATGCTGGTATGAGTCTTCAAACCACACAAAGCCATCACACACCCGGTAATGGTCTTAAGACATCAACCTCTACTTTGTATTAGAGGACTTCCGTGGGCGGCCTACGCCCTACTGTTTTTGACACTGGGATTTGATTCTGTTTTGGTGATCATCCCACATCGGGTTCTGTGGGTGGGTTTCTGGAAGCTAATAAGGAATAAGCAGGCAACTCATCATTAACGTTTAAAAAGCTCACTATTTACGTTTTTCTACTGAAATCTGGTTGGCAGGTGCTTCCGTGTCTCTGTATCTTTCTGTGTTTACTTCCTCCACCGGTTAATGGGTTATGTCTTGTCTGCGTCTCAAACTAGCATTTCAGATCTGCTTGGTAGACCTGCTGCACCACCATGTTGGCCGCAAGACTTGTGTGTCTCCGGACACTACCTTCCAGGGTTTTCCAACCAGCTTTCACCAAGACCTCCCCTGTTGTGAAGAATTCCATCACGAAAAATCAGTGGCTCTTCACACCCAGCCGGGTAAGGACCATCTGGTATCTTGTTTACGGGAACCTTTTTTTTTTTTTTTTCCTGTTTTTGAGCGTACAAAGCTCCCTGTTTACCATTAGTGATTGACTGAAACAGCCCTGATAATGTCCCAGATCAGCTCTTTCTCATTAGTTCTGTGTCAGTCTGTTCCTCCTCGTTGCATATGAAAGAACGAGCTCCTGTAACTTTCTCTTTACTTACAGCTTTTGGAGTTTTCATTCAGTTTACAGTGATTTGTCTGAGACTGAGAGCTAGATGGTGCGACAGAGACTGTGAGCCTATAGTCAAAAGCTTAAGAAGCCAGGAATGTTAACATTTAGTCAGTAGCTTATTAGTAAGTTACCAAAAATGCCATTGCAGCTCTTGGTTAGAGAGTGGTAAAATCCATCAGGTTAGAGAAACACACATTTTGTTTTATAATTGATTACTCCTCCAACATTCAGATTAGAAGTATAAGTTTTGATATGTGAGGTAGACAAGCTGTTTTCCTCTTAAATGAACTGTTCTGTTGAAAAAGAGCTAAAATAGAGGTAGTAGTCATCCCTCCTTTGACTTTTCTGTTAAGGAAAGGTAACTTTCTTGAGCCCCTTTCCAGATGGGGGGAAAAAAGTAGCTAATATTGAATACATATTTTTTAAAAGTTAGTGTTTAAACTATAATTCTAGAGGTATAAATCTGTAGTTTATGAAGTAATTATTCTGAAATGTTAAGAAGTTGTAAACTGCAAACTTCAGCGAATCCACTTCAAAGATCGACCCCAGGTAGGGTCTACATTTAGTTTCTTAGGTCGACTATCAAATCTATAGTGAAACTACATACAAAGAAAGTACCAGGTTACTTCATATAGAGTTTTCTAGTGTAATGAGATTTTATTTTATTAATAACATTCTGTTGTGCTGTGTGTATTACGTGTCTTTGTTTTTGTGTATTTCAGGACTATGCCACCAAGACGAGAGTTGGGATCCGGCGTGGGAAAATTGGCCAAGAACTTAAGGAGAGAGCAATGGAACCATCAATGGAAAAAATATTTAAAAGTAGGCAGCAGTCTTTAGTTTTTGAACTGGAGTATGTGAATATGTTTTAAGAAGTCCATGAACGGCCTTCTAAAAATTTGTGCAAACTTACATATGTGAGCATTTTCTGGGAAGAAAAACAATCGTTCTTTGGGATCTTATGACCTAGAAAAGATTTATACTGGGTTCCTTGGTTCCCAATCATATTTCTTCCAGAGAAAATCTTACTTTTACCTTTAAAAAAAAAAAAAAAAAGGACTAATAGTTAATATGCCATGATATAAAAGACAAAATTCTTAAGTCCATTTGAAGTTGCATAGAATCTTCATTTAAGCATATAATAATTATATGTGTTTTAGGTCAAGAGAAAATCACTAAAACAGATTTAATAAAAGCCTAGCTATTCAAGAAGAGTCCTCTTAACTGGTTGTTTATATATGGCCTCCCTTGAAAACAATAATGAAGTCAGTTTGAATTTCCGTTTTGCAAATTTTACTAGATTGCTAGTCTACCCAAATCTAGTCCTCGAATGCTATTCCTGGTCAACGGCCTTACAAAACCAATGTATTATAATAGGAAAGAGCTGTAAATCTGTATCCCTCCAGGCATTTCTGACTAGTAAGTTTACCCTAAAAAATAATGTGAATCATATAGCGAAGGCATAGTAATATTCGTACTGCACAAATTAAAACTCAAAGGAGTAAGATATATACAACTAAAGAGTTGTTAAATTCCTTCTCTTTCTCTTTTTTTTTTTCCTTTCTCTTTCTCTTACATTAGAGCACGCTCTCCTTGATTCTGCTGTATAAGCACATTACATTTTTGGTTCCTTTTTCTCTTTGTGACAAACATCATCTTTGTTAATGGCAATTTAGACACCAGTATGACTATTAACATTTTTTTTCATTTTTATTTTCTAAAAATATGAGAACATAACTCAGGTTCCTTTTTCTTTTTTTATGATTTTATTTATTTATTTGGCAGCTTGAGAGAGAGAGCGAGCACAAGCAGGGGAAGTGGCAGGCAGAGGGAGAAGTGGGCTCCCCACAGAGCAGGGAGCCCAATGCAGGGCTCAGTGGACCCAGGACCCTGCGATCATGACCTGAGCCAAAGGCAGACCTTAACCAGCTGAGCCAGCCAGGTGCCCCCATACCCAGATTCTTATGAATAAAATAATATGTATTACAGAAGTGTCCCCACATCAACAGATACATTGCCTCTTTAAATTTCTTTGGAGAGAAATTAGAGGCTAATCAAGTCTGATCCTTTTTGTACTATTACACCTATGTTTTAGCTGTGTCCTTTTTTTTACAGGTCCCCTAATTTTGAAGCCATTTATATTCCCATATGTTCTAATTATGGTTGTTACAAAGGAATATGGTATATCGTTTGATTTTCCCCTTAAAAAGTATTAGAAAGGGCTTGCCATCAGCATTTTTGTTTGTTTGTTTGTTTAGCATTTTAATTTAGTCAAGACTTGACGGTATTAAAGTGCACTCCCTTTGTTCTGCAGTTGACCAGATGGGAAGATGGTTTATTGCTGGAGGAGCAGCTGTTGGTCTTGGAGCACTGTGCTACTATGGCTTGGGAATGTCCAACGAGATTGGAGCTATTGAAAAGGCTGTGTAAGTAAATCATTCCCAGACGTTTCCAATCTTCAAGATTCCAATTTTGTTTTCATCCTTCTCTTTTGTCACTTTTGGAATAACGTACATCTAATCGTCTAACCAGAAATATACCTGAATAAAATAAAATTTCTTAGCTTCTGTTCAAACTTAAATCTTCTAAGGTTATATGTGTTTAAGCAAGGAGAAAACATTTTGCTTTGTATATGTGCCAAGTGCTTAGGTTTATATCATTTTATGATAAGTCCAATGTGTATGTACATCATTTCCATAATAAATGAGGGGAATAAGATGGGAGCAATAAACTGCTATTTCCCAAAGTTTCCCAGCTATGAATGATTTAACCAAAATTTATATCCGTACTTCTATAAATAAATCTTGTGTTTCTTACAGAATTTGGCCTCAGTATGTGAAGGATAGAATTCATTCTACCTACATGTACTTAGCAGGAAGTATTGGTTTAACAGCTTTGTCCGCCCTGGCAGTGAGCAGAACTCCTGTTCTCCTGAACTTTATGATGAGAGGCTCTTGGGTGGTAAGTCAGCTTGTCTTTGTTTTCCTTTTCCACTATCAGAAGATTAAACAAAAATATTGGGAGAGGAGTATTAAATGAAAGGAATCCCTTACTAAATTGAACAAGTTCAAATCTATGAATTAACAGTGCAACTGAGACAGTAGGAATTACATTCTGAAGTAAATCAGGAATTATTCTTCGTTGAGTATGTATTTAAATAGTGGCAAAGGGGTTGAAAACCAAACTTAGGGATCCCTGGGTGGCGCAGCGGTTTGGCGCCTGCCTTTGGCCCAGGGCGCGATCCTGGAGACCCGGGATCGAATCCCACGTCGGGCTCCCGGTGCATGGAGCCTGCTTCTCCCTCTGCCTGTGTCTCTGCCTCTCTCTATCATAAATAAATAAAAATTTAAAAAGAAAAATAAATAAAATCTTTATAAAAAAAAAAAAAGAAAACCAAACTTAGAGGAATATCCTACTTACCTAGCAACAGAGATCAAACAGCTCGTATTTTGTAGCAATTTAGTTAAAAGGGAGGGGGGTACAATGGCAAATGCAAAGCCATCTTAGGAGTCAGTGGAAAATACTTGTTGCTAACACAACTTTCTTGATCCTTTGTAAAGCTTTACATTCCATGAGTTTTTTTTAAGCATTTGTTATTTTGCTAGATAGAAAAAAATATTTCAAAAATGGTAGCTAGTTTTCTACTATCTGGTTGAAGAAATGAACTTAAGTGGTAAAGGTTGTGCAATAAGAAGTAGAAAGTGTAAAATGAGTTGAAAGACTTTATGTCTTGAACTAATAGGGAAGTTCCACGAAAGAGGCATTTGTTTCATCAGAACTGTTGAAGGCCAGCATTTTTTTATTATAGGAGAGGACAAAGGTAGTCTAGGTTTACAGAACAGCTTGAGCAGAGGAGAAGAGGTAGTCATTAAAACTGGCTTCACAGTAGTGTCAAGAGTGGAGTTTAGAGTATGAAGTCTAGAGTGAAGAAGACACAGTTAGGGAATGTTTGCCACACAGAGGAGAGTGGCTGACCTGTCCGAGGCCATTGCAGATACTGAAACTGCAAAAATATGATTTGTATTTGAGTTCTAAGTGCTCCAGTGGAAGAGACAAGCAGCAAGTATACCAGCTGTGGCTTTGCCAGCTCTGAAATGAGGGATTGTAGGAACGTGAACTGAGTGTGAGACTGGGAGGGAAGGAGGATGGGAAAGTTTATCATACAGATTTCCCATCAGTAACCAGATCTAACTTCTATCCAAAGCCATATTTCCACTGTACTTTCCAAAAGAGTACCATTTAGGATAGCATGGCCATTTGGACACTTCAGTATTCTTAGGATCGCTTCTCAGATGGATGTTATAAGTCTCCTAGCCTAGAAGTTCATGAGGACACAGAATAAGCGTGGTTCATTCTCACCAGGAGCAGAAACTTTAATTAGATAATATAAAACAATGCTTTTTAACAAAGCACCATGGCTACGAGAAAAAATAAAATACACAAAAGAGTTTAGCTCCTGAAATAAGATTTCAAACAAGTTTTGTGCTTAGATCATATTCTCGACTTCCTCTGGGTGTAAGTTCACTCTTACCTGCTGTTAGGGCTACTTAAATAAAATTGTTTGGAAAGTCAGGCAAGTGCTCCAGAGATGAAGATAAAACTTTTTGGGGAGGACAGACATCACATAAATAATGTCAGAGTTGGTACCAAGTGATTTTGGAACAGAGGAGAGGCTTCTGACCCTGCTGTGGCAGTTGGTGTCCCTCCCAGAATAACTTTCGGGTGAGGATGTAATCCTTAAATAAGTCAACCAGATAGAAAAGGAGGTATTCTGGGGCACCTGGGTGGCTCAGCGGTTGAGCGTCTGCCTTCGGCTCAGGGCGTGATCCCAGGCTCCTGGGATCGAGTCCCACATCAGGCTCCCCGCATGGAGCCTGCTTCTCCCTCTGCCTATGTCTCTGCTTCTCTCTGTCTCTCATGAATAAATAAAATCTAAAATTAAAAAAAAAAAGTATTCTTAGGCAAAATGAACAGAATTAAAGAGACATGAAATGGGGGCATGTTTGCATCCCCACCATTTCAGTGTAGCTGGACTGTGTAGAGTATGGAAAGGCAAAAAATACAGCTGGGTCATGAACATGAAGGATCTTAAAAGAAAAAAGTAACAATTGTAATAAATACCCTGAAAATGCCTTGCATTTATATAAAGAAATTGTATGAAATGGTTTTTAGTAATCATTTCTCCACTCCCAAGATGATAGACTCTAGTGTACTTATTTATATTAATATGAGTGAAGGCTTTTTTTTTTTAAGATTTATTTATTTAAAAATTGTATTTATTTGAGAGAATGAGCAGGGAGGTGCAGAGGCACAAGCAAAAACCTCCCCCAGTGAGCGGGGGAGCCGACATGGGACTTGATCCCTGGACCTAATATCATGATCTGAGCCAAAGCCAGGCACTTAACTGACTGAGCGACTGAGCCACCCAGGCACTCCCAAGATATATTTATTTGAGAGAGAGAGAGCAAGAGCGATGGAAAGTGTGTGAATGAGCACTGGTGAGGGAACAGAGGCAGAGGGGGAGAGAGAATCCCAAGCGACTCCAAGCAAGGCTCGATTTCACAACCCTGAGATCATGACCTGAGCCAAGACCAAGAATTGGACACTTAATCAACTGAGCTACACAAGCACCCCTATTGTGGGATTCTTAAAGAGGTTTTTTTTTTTTTAAATCTCTGTGTAGGGACGCCTGGGTGGCTCAGCGGTTAAGCCCCTGCCTTCGGCCCAGAGTGTGATTCTGGAGACCCGGGATTGAGCCCCACATCAGGCTCCCTGCAGGGAGCCTGCTTCTCCTGACTGTGTCTCTGTCTCTCTGTGTGTGTGTCTCATGAATAAATAAATAAAATCTTTATAAATCAATCTCTGTAGCAAGAATAAAATTAAAAGATGGTCATTATCAGTCAAAGCTCAAAGGAACTCATTTGAAGGGGTCTGCAAAACTTTGTGTGCCGGTAGGGGGCGCTCATCCTCAATCTTTTTAAACAAGGTTTTTTGGGAGAGACCAGCTGAACTTGGAACGTGTGGGTTTCTACTTTGTTGCTGTATAGGATTGATTCTTCTCAGTAATATGTGTCTTCCAGACAATTGGTGCAACCTTTGCAGCCATGATTGGAGCTGGAATACTGGTACAATCAATATCATATGACCAGAGCCCAGGCCCAAAGCATCTTGCTTGGTTACTACATTCTGGTATGTTCTAATTTTAAATTCTCATTTAACAACCTTCATTACTATCTTTTGTTGGTGACTTCACAATTGTGCATAATGTAATAAAGCCTCGTGTTTAGAAAAAAACAGTTTTTTATACTATTAGTGGTTGCTTATTGCCAGACCTCTACTCTGAAAAGTTAATGGTTCTGATACTAAGATCATGGACACCCCCAAAATTACATTTGGCCTCCTGTGACACTCCAGTATATGCAGAGATTTCCGTTATGTATTTTGTCTACTCCTGGGAGGGTTTCAAACGTGATACACATTACTTCATACTTGTTCTTGTGTATCTTTAGAAAAATGTAAAAATGAGGGTGGAGAAGAAGAGGTAAGACAACACATGAAAGAATAGGAGTGTAGAGGATCTTGCAGCGAGGCTTTGGAAGAGAGAACACAGTAAAAAAGGTCTTTGGAAATGTGTATCTCTGTCTGATACTGTTAGCTGGGTCATTATTTAGGTAGGTTTAGCACAAATACACCGTGGACAGGGCAAAGGCTGTCCTTTGGGACAGTTCTAATATCCTTTTATAGGTATATGTTGTGATCCTTCCCTTAGTTGTGGAGACACAACTATTTTATTTTTTTTTTTAATTTTTATTTATTTATGATAGTCACACACAGAGAGAGAGAGAGAGAGAGGCAGAGACACAGGCAGAGGGAGAAGCAGTCTCCATGCACCGGGAGCCCGACGTGGGATTCGATTCGGGCTCTCCAGGATCGCGCCCTGGGCCAAAGGCAGGCGCCAAACCACTGCGCCACCCAGGGATCCCGAGACACAACTATTTTAGACAAAGTGTTTTCCATCTCAGGTATCCCAGGATAGCTTGTCTGTGGGTTGAATTAAGAGCCAGCTAGACCCAGAAACAAAAGTACTTCTTAGATACGTGATCTCTACCACAAAACAAATTTTATTTTTTCATTTTTTTTAATTTGAGTATAGTTGACACGCAGTGTTACAGTGCTTGGCAGTGTATAACAGTGTGATTGAGCTCTGTACGTTGTGCTCCACTCCCCGCAGCTGTAGTGGCTGCCGTCTCACCATGCAGTGCTACTGCAGTATCACTGGCCAGGTCCCCCGTGCTGTGCCTTTTACGCCTGTGACTTCATTCTGACTGGAAGCCTGTATGTCCCACCCCTCTTCACCCACTTTGCACACCCTGCCACCTCCCCCTGGCAACCATTTGTTTGTTCTTTGTCTTTATCTGTGTCTGCTTTTTAATAGCCTATTCACTTAAACAAGACAAATTTAATAAGTATTTCCCTGAAAATTTCAGGGGAACAGACTCTGAAGTGTTATTAACATTAACAAATGGAAATTAGGTATTTGGCATCCAAATTTCTGGTGTGAACTGTGTCATTTATTTTCTTCATGTGCTTTGTTCAGTCAGTAAGAGAAGGCATGACTTCACAACCTCGGCTTTCAAGTCTCTTTCGTTACGCTTGAGGTCATTCAACCATAGCTATTTTCCATGGAGCTTTACAGAATAAAACCCTGTGATGGAGGGAGGTGGTCCTTTATCTTCTAGTACCAATGACCTACTTTTAATTTAAAAAAGTATTTAAAAAAATTTTTTAAATTATTAGAGATATATGAACTTGCGTAAATAAGAATTATTCAGTTCACCATCTGTTTAGCATCAGTATCTTGCCCAGTGGGTGGAGTTCTGTTCCTCTTTCCCATTTTAGACACTGAGTTTGGTGAGAAAACAGGTTGTGCTTTTTTATCTCTGATAAGTAGTAGATACTTAATGACTTACTGAATTAAATTAAATAGCTATAGAGTTTGAATTTAGAACAGGGCTTTCTTTCTGGGTTGCTTACTTCAGTCAAAGTATTTTGTGTGTTGAAGGGGGCTTGCAAGACACCCCCCCCCCATTCATTCATTTTAGTGTTTTTTAAGAAGGAATCCTAGGACTCAGCAGATGTTTGTTACTCAGAGCTAAGAATTTATTACGATAAAAGGACACATGATAGCATCTGCAAGGGGGAAAAATAGAGGCAGTCTGGAGAAATTCATCCAGAGGCTTTCAGCGCTCCCTCCTTTCTTTGAGGGGACTTAGGGCAGTGAAAAGTGCAGTGAGCTGGGAAGCCTGTTAGAGACTTGGTGCCCAGGAATTTTCTGGCTGATCTTGTAAGCATCCTCCTAGCAACTACCAAAATGTGAATTTCCAGAAGGAAAGCAGGTTTTCAGCATAAGATTGTTTGCACAAGTTGTTTAACCCTCCCACTTACGGAATGCTTCATGTGCCAAGTTCTTAAATAGCCAAGGACCAGCCCTGCAAGCAAGTCTTTGTAAAGATGATCTTAGGCCTGCTACAGTAACCCTTCCCTACACAGCATGAATGCCAGTTTTTGCTCTATATTTCATACATCTCTTAAGCAGCTTTGTAGGCTGGCATTAGCATCTGCATTTCATGATAGGGAAGTGGAGACTATGTGAGGTCACACCAGGTGCCAGGTCAAAACCGACACCTTAATTTCTTCAAGTCCAGCCCTCTGTTTACTCTTGCTTTCACTGGCATGATTGAGATGATACCTGAAGGGGCTTTGGATGACCCAGGGGTCATCCCTCACATTATTAAAGGGACATCAGAGTTGGCTTTTGACCAGTATTAATATCCCAGTGCATACTATTTTCTTTTTTCATCCAAATGTATAAGCACTATGTAGACCTAGCTGTGGTCTTAATCAGGACTAAGTGATACTGTGCAGGAATTACTAAAATGATCATTGGAAAACTATTCTAATTGTGTCTTAAAGCTTTGGGAAGGCTAGACCACAGCTGCACACACCATCAGAAAACTAGGCCTTAGAAAACAGGCTCACCAAAGAGCCAGATGGTGGGGAACAGACCTTTGGGGGGACCTGCCGAGCTGATGACAAAGTCCTGGAGGACCAGACCAGACCCTCAAAGGCCTCAAACTTAGGTGCAACTGTTACGAGAAGGCCAGGACTCAGGTGCCCACACTCTGTGAGGGAGGACAAGTCTCTCAGAACACACACAGCCTGACTGCCAGAGAGCTAGGCCACAGAAGGTGAACCTCTCAGTACAGTGGCATCTGGGATGACACCTTAGCAGAGCGTGGTGACTAAGCCAGCCAAGGGCCAGACTCCCAGTGATGAAAGCTCCAGAGAAGACCTCCAGTGAACCTAGCCATGAAGAGTGGAAAAACTGGAGGACTGTACCATGGCCGTCAAGGCCACCTGAGAAACTGTCTTCGACAGGGTAGAAGAGGATCACTTGAGGGGCAGGCCATGGAAAACAGGACCACCAGGCTAGGCCCTGAATGCTGTGAAAGGGCCATGAAGGAGGCAAGGCCTCATCCTTGCTCCATGGAACCAGCTCTCCCTCCTGTCCCTGGCCATTGGTGGCTAATGGGGTCAAGAGAAGCTGAAGCAATGAGCCGGCACATTAGTACAGGGAATGGAGGAGGAAGGACACTTTCATCCTCTGCCTTTGGCTTAATCCAAATTTCAGGACAGGGAATTACCTGGGGCAAGTAAAGTGGGGAGCCTGGTGGAGAATAAAGGTTTTTCTTGGATTCTGCCCCCCACCCAATTTTTTTTTTTTTCCTAAAAACGTTGCTGTTAGTTGCAAAACTGATGGGAATCTTGGTAGAAATGTCCTAGAAGAATTTTTATCCAGTATCTTTCTTACAGCAAAGGACATTTTTTATTGCTCATTATCATGAGATATATCTTACTACTTGATCCAGAAATGTTACTCTCACAAAAGGGACACACTGTTGAAATTACAGTATGGCAACAGCTATGCATGTTGCAGGAGTTCAACATAGACCCTTTATGTTTAGGAAGAGGATAACTTGTTCTACTCACCTCTGAAATACTGCCTTAAGATTTTTTTTTTAATTAAGGAATTCTGTTTGCGTTGCTGATTAAATTATTGATCCCTTTCAGTATAATTTTTCTGAACTTGTTTATAAATATCTGACAACTAAAATTATCGTTTGCAAGCTGAGATGGCATTCCCTATACACAAAGAAATAGACAAAGTGTGCTTGAAGTTCCTACATTTTAGAATTAGCACTATGTACACATTCTCTCTCTTTACCTTATTCCCTTTGGGCATCGGCAGGTTTGACCTATCAGTTACCTATTTCAAACCTTTTTATCTCAATCCTTATATATGTGATCATTGTTGCAAAGAATACCAGACGCTCACATCCAGATAAAGAACTACATAGAATTTGTTAAAGTCTAAATTAGTGTTTATTCTTTGAGTCGAGACAATTTAAGAATATGTTTGTTATTGTGATTTTGAATTTGGATAGCCACAGGTACAGGTTTGGGTTGTGGAATTGGGAGGGTTGGGGAGTAGAGTATGAAATAAGGGAGAGACTTTCCTCTTGTCTAACAATGAGGTATGTGATGTTCCGATGGCATGTTGTTAGAAGTGGCGTTTTCATTTTTGGTTGTTATTTAGTACATACTTAATTACTTGCTCTTTCTCCAGGTGTGATGGGTGCAGTGGTGGCTCCACTGACAATATTAGGGGGGCCTCTTCTCATCAGAGCTGCGTGGTACACCGCAGGCATTGTGGGAGGCCTCTCCACTGTGGCCATGTGCGCACCCAGTGAGAAATTTCTGAACATGGGAGCACCCCTGGGAGTGGGTCTGGGCCTCGTCTTTGTATCCTCACTAGGTAAGCCGCTGTGCTCGGATACTTGGTTCTTAGTATCCTACAATCATTGGTGTACTCAGTTATCCTGATGGAGGGAATTTATTAAGAGTCATTTACAAAAGTTTAAAAGGGAAACACTAGAGTGTATTTTCTTACTTGGCATCATGGTAAACTATTATTTTTGGTTTTACCAAAATACATCTAAAGTGGTAAAGCCGATTTGGGAAACATCAAGATTGCTCTTGATGCAAGAGCCTTTCTGTAATGTGGGCAAGTGACCCACTATAGGAATGAGTATAATGGGTCTGGAACAAAATTACACAGTGCATATAGTCCTATTGTTATTTGTGCAATACACCAAAAGGTTTTTGTTTTTTTGTTTTGTTTTGTTTTGTTTTTTAAGTAAAGTTAATCATAAATCCAATTATAAAAGAGTCCATCTGTTTGATTTGTTTGTTTTTTTCCCTTCCAGGATCGATGTTTCTCCCACCTACCACTGTGGCTGGTGCCACTTTGTACTCAGTGGCAGTTTATGGTGGATTAGTTCTCTTCAGCATGTTTCTTCTCTATGATACGCAGAAAGTAATCAAGCGTGCAGAAGTAATACCAGCATATGGAGTTCAAAAATACGATCCCATCAATTCGTAAGTAGTCTTTAATGTCTTCCCTTTGTTACATAGAACATTCGTGTTATTATGGTTTATTTTATTTTATGGCTGTGTTAGTTTCCGAGGGCTACTGTAACAGACTACAAACTGGTTAAAACAATGAAAATGTATACTCTCTGTAGTTCTGTAGGCCAGAAGTCTGACATCAAGGTGTCCTCAGGGTTGATACTTTCTGAGAGTTCTAAGAGAGAGTGTGTTCCATGCCTCTCTCCTGGCTTCTCCTTTGGCCAGCAGTCCTTGACATTCCTTGGCTCGTAGACACATTACTCCAATCTCTACGTCCGTCTTTACAGCAGTCTTCCTGTATGTCTGTCTCCAGTTAGGTTGGATGAAGACCCACCCTGCTCCAGTGTTAACCTCATCTTAACTCCCATCTTGATTACATTTGCCTTATTTCCAAATAAGGTCACTTTTATAGGTACAAGGATTAGGATGTCCACCCACAAGAATGAGTGGGTGGAGTTCTATTTTATTTCAGTTGCTTGCTGTTTCATCTCTTCAGTAAGCTATGTATCCACGGAACATTTGACTGGGTTGTAACAACTAAGTGTAATATTTAGGTGTTCAATTAAGTCAGTATTTACCTGTTTTTGTTGATTAGCTTTATGGTGCAGCTGTTCTATAACAGTGCTTTTCCCTTTTCTTGGGCTCTACACCAAAGTAGGTTGTTTTATTTAAGCAACTTTCTTGAGTTTCGTGGTGTCTATCACATTTTTTTTTAAGTAATTTTTTTTTTCCCTTGAAACTGAAATTCAGTGTAATGTTTTTTTAAAACTGCTCTAACACAGATTTGTAACAGTTTTCTTTGGTTGGCAGTTGGGGGGAGGGGGTTGCTTTGAGGAGATACATCATATTTTAAAATGCCAGACTTGTGTCTGACACATTTTTATGAAGGTGTTTCTTTGGTTTCTCTCTATTATTTCATTGTCTATCACCCAGGGTTTTTTTTTTTTGCAAGGATAGGATAATGATTTTTTAAATTGCCCTTTAACATTTCAAAAATTAATCTGCCAGAAGGAAATCTTGACTCTAGTCTAGGGCTTCCTTCCTTAGTTGGCATCTTTTGTTTCTTTAATTTCTATTTCGTATACCTTTGACAGATAATCAGTGTTGCTTTTTCTTTTCTACATTAAGAAATAGTTTTTTCATTGTTATTAGAATTACATTATCTATAACAGGCCATAATTTTCTTTTCCAGGATGCTGAGAATCTACATGGATACATTGAATATATTTATGCGAGTTGCCAGTATTCTAGCGACTGGAAGCAACAGAAAGAAATGAAGTGCCTCAGCTTCTGACTTCATTAATACATCAGATATCTTGCTTGTTTAATAGGGACAGGTATTCATTAAATAGTTGTCCAAGCAGCTTTCATTGAAGTTTAGAAGATAAGACTCGTCAGCATGTTTCAGATGTTCTGGAGATGTGATGCTTCAGGTCTGCTTTTTCTTCTGAAGAATAAATTTAGTTCTCTTCCAAATAAGCACACACATTTCTAGTTCTCATGTTTGAGTAATTCTAAAATATTTCAATGAATGTGAAAACTTAAGGTTTTTGTTGTGAGAAATCTATTCTGTTTTAAAATTTATTTGATTAAGTGAAAATTAGCAAACTTTGTTTTGCTGCATATCTTGAAATGCAGAAATATTAACAAGTAATGTCACAAGTGATGTAGAGGTTTGGTAAAGGGACCAGAGAGAAGCAAAGGGTCACCTGCAGTCTTTCGTTGAATACTTAGCACTTGTGTAATTGGTGGTAAGCCAGTGTGAGAGGTCTGGCTATTTGGAAACAAACGAATCATTGATGTTTTTATGTTCGTCTTTTGAACTTATCAAAAGCATTGAGCATTAAACAGATATAAGTGATTCATTCTCCCGATGTTCCTTTCCTTTTCAGTGCTATCTGTACAACGCGGGTGTGATTTGTTTGTTTGTTTTGTTTGTTTTTTGACTTCTCATTGTGAGACATTGCTAGGACAGTCCAGAATGTTAATCGTATGGAGAATTCCTGATAAGTGTTAAATGTGTTTAAGTTTTATTTTTGAACCACAAAGAACAAAATATCCTTAAAACTAACTCTTCTCAAGATAAAACATTCAAAGCATGAAAACTGTTGGATTTTCAAACACAAAAACACAGTGTTCCTAATTGTTGAATTTTTTTTTTGCATATTTATTGAAATGTTTACTACATGCTTACCTTTCTCATCTCTACAGGGTTTGAAGCTTTTATCAGTAAAGCCTGTTAGTGGTTCACACTTAAGATTATGAAAATAGTTTTTCTCCCTAAGACTTGGTTTCTTGTGTTGCTCTCAGACTAATAAGCACTTAAAAGGGGGGCATAGCTAGTCTTTCTTCATGATGATGTCAGTTAAAACTGTAATAGGCAAAGTGCTTCGTTAAGAGTTCCCCCCCGCAGACTTAACCCTTCTCTCTTGCACAGACTATTTACTTGACTCTCGTGACGTTAAGTTTTTTGATACAGAGGAGTTATTTTTGGAAGTTCTTAATGAATGAAGTAAGTGTATGGTTATTGAAATGATTGGTATTTTTGACACATATTTATTACAGTAATCCAGAAGTCACTATTCCAACCACCTCATGTCACCTCATGCTTATTTCTGAAATAATAAAGGTTCCAGCCTGCTGTGATTGGTCTGTAATTTTTCCAGCTGAACACATGTATACTATATGAATAGAGGATTTGTTTCCTTTATTCTCTTCCTCACCTAGGGTGTAGAATACCGTGTGATTATGGCCATGGTGCTTGTCGCCAGACTGCCCTTTATTTGAGCCCTGCCTCTGCCACTGATTGCCTGTGTGTCCTGGGCAGGCAAATTACTTAACCTCTCTGTGCCCATTTTCTTATCTATAAAATGAAGATGGTAAGAGAACCTACCTCATAGGATTGGGGTGAAATGTGTGGACATTTAGCACTAAGTTTAAGCGGCTGTTGCTGGGGGTGAGGGGGGTGTCCTAAGAAAAGTCCAAGGGCCAAACTTGGATTTATCCCCTCGTCTACTTTAGTCTCTCTGCAGTGTTAATGTGATTGTAAAGGTCCTCTTGTCTTCAGTCACATTTTGTATCCCTGTGTTTGGATGGTATCACACAAAACAGGGTTTCAACAATGGGCATCAGGCAACAGCTTATTTAGAAAAATCAGGTAGATTTTTTTTTTTTAATGACTGGGTATTTTATTACATCACTTTTTCTAACTTTGCTAAACACAATGAAGACTTTGGTATAAAAAGTGAGTTATATAAAATGTGAATGCTTACAAAATAAAATATTTTAACCAGATGTAAAGTGATAACGAGAAAATCACTGGTCCCTAGGCTCACTGAGGTTTTTTCTTCACATCACTCACGGGGAAGTGTGAGGACCGGCACATTGATAAGACTTCAGGCAAAAAAGAGAAAGACCTACTTGTGGTTTTCTGAAACATCACCTGAAGTTTTACAGAATAACAGAAAATGTACTTTAAAAATAATCACACGAAAAATGAAGTCCCTTTTGGTTTGCTTAGAATAGTGTCGTGAGCACTCAGGAAACGTGAGTGTAGCAGGCACCGTGTTGCCTGAAGTTGTTCATCTGGACGGAGGGCGTGTGTCCGTGTTGAGGTTCTTGAAACTGGACAACCCTTGAGGTTTGTGTCTTCCCAGTACGGCAGGGGGTCCAGAGGCCCTGGTCATTGCTAAGGATTCGATTATTTGCATGTTGTGTGTGGAGTCCTTTGTGTCGTGACGTCCCCTGGAGCTGGGTGCTTGCAGTCCCCGTCCTGCCAGAGGACTGAGCTGAAGCCCACAGGTTCAGTATTCGCACAAGGTCACGTGGCTGAGGAAGTGGTGCACTTGAACGTCTCAGCTGGTTATGCTGGAACGTTCCGCGGATACCACAGGGCTGAGATCCTGTTGAGAATCCAGAGCACTGCACAACTTAAAACAGGTTGAGAGTTTGCTAAATGCAGAGCATTAGAATTTGTGTTTATCAAAGAGGATTGACCTTAGTGTCTGAAAAATAAATGATCACGTTTTACTTCCCCAGCTCCTGCTGCTTATATATAGTGCCAGAAACTCCTTTTCTCCATTTCTGAGGTCACTTGGAGCTACAGATCAAAGGATTTTTTTCAGGTCCATGTGCTCACCAAGCTGGAGTCCTCCCCAAAAGTGCCCAGCGTGGCTAGCAACCTGGGGCTGGAAACAACGGACTCCTGCTCACAGGCGAGGGCGCGTCGAACGATCCATGAGCACTTCGTCGAGGTGGCCTGATGCCCTGGTTTTACACAGCAGCGAGGAGCCTGGTGAAACGAGATTCGAGGCACGATTTCATAGGAAAGGTGTTAGATTTCTTAATTTTATTTGCTTATTAGTCATGTTACCTCCGTTCCAAGATGCTGTATTTTTCACATTTCATCTCTGAAATGTGTTTAATTTCACTGGTCTTTCATTTTAATGTGTTTAATTTCATGATTACCATTTATCCAGATAACTAAAACGAGGTGCATTTTTTTTTTGCAAAGCTAAATTATCTTAAAAATCAGTGACATTTTAGAATTTTAAAAATGTTCTTTTCCAGTGGTTGGTTTTTGCATTTCTAATAGTTCGTCGATTTGTAAGAACAGGTACCTGAGGGATTAACTTTCCATAATTGTAGCAACTTTTACTGATGATTCACAGGGACTCTTCCCAGAAGACCGTGCAAACCTAGCCGCACCCAGCTGTGTGCATCTCGCAGGCGGAACCTGACTTCCCTGACTTCCCAGCAGCGCACAATGGTTCCCAGCAGGAGATTCAGTAGTTTGGTGTGACGCGAGGAGTAAGAGGCCACAAAGCTGTGAAGTAGCTTCTGGTGAATGGAGTGCAGCAGCCAGGGTTATCCCACAGCCAGCCAAGGCCCCGACCCTGCTGCCATCGCCGCAGTGAATGCTGAAGCCAGGAGCCCTTGGGGGGCGGGGGGGCCCAGACACAAGTCCCGCCGAAGAGATCCAGTCAACAGGTGTCTGTTGAGCCGTAGTTAAAATGTGAGAACCAGCAGCTGTGACCCCAGGCCGTCGTGAAGGCGTGATCTGGGAACTACAAAAAAGCTCCCGGACGCGTTGCCCTAGGAGTTGGGGGGAAGCAGCAGGTGTCCCCAGGGAGGCCGCTTGGGCAGCCCCCCAGCCAGCTCCCTTACCCTCCAGGGTTTCACAGGAGACGGCATCCAAAGTGCAGGAGTCCAGGTACTGGAGCTACAGCAAGGTCTTCGCCGTGAATCCTGGGGAGCAGGAAAAATGGGTGTTTGGGAGGAAAACGGGCTTTTCTGTATCTTTGCCCCCAAGCAATTTTTTTTTTTTAAAGGAAAGTACATACAGAGAGAGGGAACATGGGAACGCTAAAACAAGCTTTTCGGGTTTTAGGAAGGTATAGCGGAAAGACCCAGAAAGCAGGACGTCTCTCCCCTTGAGAGCCCGGGCACGTCTCTCCGCAGGGCCTCGAAGTCCCCAGAGCCCGGACGCGCGGTGGCCGCAACCTCAGGACTGGAGTTCCCGGGGGGACAGCACGGAGGGCACGCTGTCCTCCGGGAAGCCTGCTGCCACCCCGCGGGGCGCCCAGCTCCGAACTCTCCCCGCCCGCACCCTCCTGCGCCCGCTGTTCCTCGCCGAGGCCTGCATTTCAGGGTGCTGGGTTTTTGGTTTTTTTTTTTAACTTGCCCTGAATTGTGGCAGCGAAAGACAACCATTGTCCGCCTTAAAGAAGCGTCTTACACCCGTGAACACGAGTGGGAGGTAGATTTTGGAGACAGGATGCTGTGAACAAAGGCGAGGAAAGCTGTGCACCCTCTCCTGGCAATGGCGCCTGATCGTTTACTGTGGGTTTTTTTTTTTTTTAAGATTTTATTTATTCATGAGGGGCCCAGACACACACAGGCAGGCCTGGATCCCAGGAGCCCGGGCTGCTCCAGTGCAGGGGGCAGGGCCTTCCCGCTGTCGGGAGGCCCCTCCAGCTCCAGCTCCTCGTTCCCAGAGGCCAGGCTGCGGACACCAGGAGTGGAGCACAGGCTAAAACGCTCGGTTAGAGCCCTGGATCCTGTGGCTGGAGGGTGAGGGAGCTAGGAGACGGAACCTGCAGACCGGGCCCTGGGCCCCCCCAGACCCCAGCCCCCCAGCTCCAGGCTGAAGCGATGGGGGGGGGGTGTGAGCGCGGGCGGCAAACGGCCGGGAAGCAGCCAAGGGGTCGCTCCCACCAGACGGCGTCGCGGTGGCCACAGGCCACTAGCGTGAGGAGCTGAGGGCCCAGCAGGACCCCCCCCCCCGGTGACCCAGGGCAGGGGTGGAAGGGACGGCCGGGCAAGACCCAGGGAGCCGGCGGCCACGAGGAAGGTCGGGGGACCTCGTGGGGGACCCTAAGGGAAGAGGCTCGGGGAGGCAAGGCCAGGAGAGGAGCGGCCCGGGGTCCAAGCACGAGCTTCCCCCCGGGAGGAGAGGGAGCCCCCGCTTCCCTTGTGGCGAGGTCACCCTTCAGCACCTGCCGGGGGCGGGGGGCACCCAGCGTCCGGGCTCCAGTTGTAAACGGATCACAATCCACTATGCAAATAAAGGACCGTGCGTCCTGTGATGCGCTGCAGGTCCATAAGCCATCTTCTGGGGGAAAGCGCGACCCAGGCCGAGAGGGAGGCGGACACGGCGAAGCGGCCCACCCGTGCAGGTGGGGACTCCAGCGGTCGGAAGCTGGACCCCCAAAAATTGTTCCCTTCCTCGTAAGTCCCCCCGCGCGTCACATGGGCGCCCGGAGTCCCCCCGGAAGGCTCACCAGCGTTCAAGACGCGTCTTCCGAAATGATTCGGAGCCTCAGGTCCTCTTATTTTTATACCCAAAGTGCAGTCGCTGAAAACTAACAGGTGTTCCTGTTAAAAATGCTTCTCATTTTCACCTCTCCCGACTTTGTGACATGTCAAAGAGCCAAAGGTGTTTCTTCCTTTTTTAAAGTAGGAAGTCGATAGCTATCTTTGAAATGTTGAAAAAAGAGAAAAAAGGAGGTGAAATTTTGTGAACAGTGATTGTCTCCGGGGAACAGGAGTTTGGGGTGGAACTGGTACTTCACACCCTGTGTTAAATTCAGCAAGTTCTCCTAAGCGCTTAAAAAGCGGGGTGCAATCCCGACACCCAGCTCCCTTCTCCCCATTTAATGAAAAATGGTCCTGGGAACACCCGTCGGCCCGTAGCCGTGGGAGCCGACAAGGAGCAGATGTGCCAAGAAGAAAGCCGCTGACGACACGGTGTCGTTTGTGGCTCCACAGTTGAGCAGCGGGGTCCTGGGGACCCTTCCCGAGCCGGTGGGCCCAGGCTGCTCCCTCCGCTCCCCGACAGTGGGCTTCTGCACCCATGAGCCCCAGGCCGGCGGCAAGGTGCCCTAACCTGCAAGCAAGGTGCCCTAACCCGCAGGCCAGTGACTCCCGTCTCCCCAGGTGATCCTTCGCCCAAAGCAAACCATGAACCGGCCGCCGCAAAGGACCTGCTACGACAGGTGAGCAGCACCCGAGGGACCCAGAGAAATAAAGTGGTGGCGATGGTGCTTGCTGCGGCCCTCGGGGACGACGCTCATCTCAAGGACCGTCTTCAAGAAATGGGGCAGTTTGTAGAGCCGTGCCCTGCAAGCTAAGGGGAACAGC